CCCATGAACCCTTGGGGTCTACCTTTCAGTCTTATGGCATTTCTATCTTACTCTCCCATCTACATGATTCCCCAATCTAAACTGGTCCCCTTGCATTTCTGCTTCAGGCTCTTCTCCCTCTAGATTTATCATCATGTTGGAGTATTTCTCCTTCATTAAAATATCCACCCTTCTAGGCCTGTGTCTGACTCCTGCAGTGCGTGTGGCTTCCCCAATGTCCAGTTTTCTCAGTGTACAGAAGCCAGCAGCAACCAACTTCCCTTGGCACCCAGGGCAGTTTTGTAGCAGAGTATCTCCAATGAGAAACCAACCTGTGAATAGCTTTCCCAGGCACCTTAGAAGGTAATGTCTGGAAAGTTCCAGAGGGCAGGTTTCCAGCAAATTCTCCTAGCACCACAGCAACTTCTCTGACATTCTGGGAGTCACAGCCTTTTCCAGTGAGGTTTCGATTTCGTTCTTGGGGGTGGGTGGGTAGATGGGGATGCTCTTCCTCAGATGCTGTCTCAGCCTTAGGAAGTAACAGCTGCTCCATATATCTGCCATTCCTATATTCTTTAGAGTTCTCTGGACTTCTTATTAGTCAGACCCTCATTAGTCCAGACCTGCTTTAATGATTCTTTATATCAAGTTTTGCCTGTTCAAGTTACTGTTTTTTTCTTTCCCAATTGGACCCAAACTGATATACCCTTCTAGATCTGTGTTGTCCAATATGGTAGCTACTAGCTATATGAGGTGATTAAGCACCTGAAATGTGGCTGGTACCAAAGAGAAACTAAATTTTTAATTTAATTTAATTTAAAAAAAATTGAAAATATAAATTTTTTTCCATTAAATATTTTATTGCATGTAAAATGTCTCACTAACGTTTTATTATATTACATGCTGAAATCATAATACATTGGATATAGTGGGTTAAATAAAAAATATATAATCATTTTCATTTGTTTCTTTTTACCTTTTTAATATGGCTACTAGAAAATTTTAAATTATATACACGGCTTGAATTTTATTTCTATACAACAGCGCTGTTCTACACTCATTTTCTAATTAGTCTTTCCTGATTTTCCTAAACAGATGTGACTTCTGCCTCCTCCACAGCACTGTGAATTTCTCTTAGGACATTTGCTAGTTTTTTGCTGGCCACCATCCTATCTCCTCTTTGTATAGGCATCTCAGTCTCCTTTGACGGAATGTCCATGGTGCTATCCTTGAAATTTAGTGGCCACATCGCATTAGAGAGACCAGAGGGGTTGTCCCTGCTAGCCTGAGTGAGAAGTCAAATTGTTCCAATTTAGAAGCTCTTTGCCCACACTTTATATCTTGAGCAAGTGTTGCAAACGGTCAGTTGAAGGTCATATTTCTTAAAGCTGCAGCAGAGTATGGTACATATACTACACTCATTCTTTCTGCTGTGTCATTTTTGCAATGTTTTCTGCTACCTAGGTTTTCCAAATGATTGAAATTCAATCAGTATAATTTCATTGATTCTCACCATTGACTGATTCTGTGAGACACTGACATCTGTCCAATCAATTCCCCTTCTCCTTAGACTGATAGAGGCTGTTTGTGTTTTTTGCAACCAAGAACTCTGATAACTTCACTGGTGTTGCTCTATGATGTCTTAACATTTAGTTTTAGCAAGTGCTAGGCTATGGGGCAATTCTCAGAATTGAAGGATAAACTGAAGAGCTAGGCAAAAACTAGCTCTACAGATCTATGTGCCAAGAACTACAGGTACCATCACTAAGTGCACATCAATACTTTTCAATCCTTGGTCATCACTTGGTTCATTCCAGAATAGAGTGCAATAGACAGCTGAGGTTAGGAGTCTTGTGGCAGGCAGAAAAGTGGCTCCCAAGACTTCATGTCTTAGTCCCTGGAACCTGTAAATGTTAACTTACATGGCAAAAGGGCCTTTACAGATGTGATTAAATTAAGGACTGTAATATAGGAGATTATCTTGAATTATTTGGGTGGAGCCAATAAAATCACAAGGGTCCTTAGAAGTGGAGAACCTTTCCCAGCTGGATCCGAGAGATGTGACTACAGAAGCAGGATTAGAAAGATGTTACTGATTTGGGAGATGTAGAAAAGGGGGTCATGAGCTAAGAAATGCAAGCAGCCTCTATAACAGTGGTTCTCAACCTGTGGGTCACGACCCCTTTGGGGGTCGAAAGACCCTTTCACAGGGGTCGCCTAAGACCATCGGAAAACAAAAAGATATTTACATTACGATTCATAACAGTAGCAAAATTACAGTTATAAGAGTAGCAACGAAAATAATTTTATGGTTGGGGGTCACCACAACATGAGGAACTATATTAAGAGATCGCGACATTAGGAAGGTTGAGAACCGCTGCTCTAGAAGCTGGAAAAGGGTCTTCCCTCGCGTCTCCAGAAAGGAATGCAGCTCAATGAGATTTCGGACCTATAGAACTGTTGTTTTTAACTCATTAGTTTTTTGATAAATTGTTGGGCAGCAAATAGAAAAGTATTGCAAGGTCGCCCCCTTGAGCTGGAGAGGACATCACTTTGGTTGGCAGTCCTACCAAGGCTGTATCCTTTGGAGATAGGAGGGAGGTTCCTGTTTGAAAGGCCCATGCCATTAACAAGTGAGGGAAAAGGATACCGAACAGGCAAAACATGGGTGCCTACTGCCACCAACCACTACAGCCCATTGTACATCATTTAACCAAAATTGGTCCAATTGAATTTTTAGGGCCAGCAATGTATTAGGCTAAGTATTCTGGGTGAGAAGACTTGAGGAAATAGAAGAAACCTTTATAAGGAATGCAAATCCAATCTTTATATATGCAATAATACATTTCAGCCTAAAAGTTCTCATGAAACTTGAAAAGGACTGATTCCTTCTCAGTAAAAAATGTAGTTAATTCAGCCAGCTGCCTTAGTACCTAGACATAGAGATCTGTTCCATAAAAAGAATCACTTAGTTACTACTGACTAATTAGTTGCTGATAAATGAGCGGTACTAATGGAGACCTACTTAGAGGCAAATGAGATGGAAGTTACGGTCCACCAATTTAAGAAGGCAAAAAACATAACCAGGAAAGCCGAAAGGAGCAATAAGGGGAATTTACTGTATCTGTCCCCAAACCTGGATGTGATCACTCAAGGACACTAGAATATCAGAGCATAGTGATGCAAGTCATCAGAAAAGCCAGGGCTGATGTCCAACACACCCTCGGTTTTTGAACTGACCAGGTGGCAGTCTCTAACAGTGGGTAATGAAAATATCACTTTGGAATACGATAGAGTGTGACTCTAAAGGGATCATTATTGTCACCTTATAATTCATTTAGAAGGTTTTGGCTCATAAAGATATTTTCTGGCATTTAAGGACACCCATGCTCAGGTGGTAGTAAGATATCTTGGTCATCTTTTTCAATGTGAGTCTTTGTTCAGGTTGAAAACAATTTTGGCTGTAGGCATTCCCTTAGGAATATGTGTATGTCCCTGTTTGTTTTTTGTTGTTGGGATTTGGGAGGGTTGAAAGGAAGGGTTCCTTTCCCAGTCAGGTAGGTTCCAAAAGTGATGATTCTAGGAAAACTGTTCTCAGTCCTGGCCATGTGTTAGAATTATCTGGGAAGCTTTAAAACAAACAAACAAAAATAACAATGTTTGGACTCAGGGCTCAAAGGTAGAGCCCAGGCATCTGAATATTCTAAAAACTCCCAGATAGTTCTAACCCTCTGGTCAGTGCAGTCAGGGTTAAAAACCATTGTTTTAGAATTTCCTGGCATGGGAACCCTGTGGGTCATTAGTTTTGTGGCATCCTCTCACGCAGTATGACCTAGCAGTGGTTCTCAAACTTCCGTGCACCCAGGAGCCACCTGGGCCCTGTTTAAAATTCAGATTCTCAGGCTTCAGTAATAAGAGAGTACTAGAAAACCCCGCTTGCGCAGCGCTCAGGAATCTTCTTTTCATCTTTTGCAGTCAAAGGGTCACAACCCCAAAAATTAAGGCTTGAAGATAACAGTCGAGGGTAGATTATGGCCAACAGGGAAGGGATGTGGAATTAAAAAAAAGACCGTTTTGTAAGTATAGACAACCCCACCCCCCAATAACTGTTTTTCGTGGGCTCCTCTACTCTGGGCGGATTGGACTGGGACCACGGAAGGCGACGTGAGTATGGCAAGGTGTGTGGCCCTGGGTGTGGTTGTCTCTGTGTTCCGGAAAATTCCTTGGTCGCCAGGGGGTTGGGGAATTATTGTCCCTTGGCTCCGCCGCCGCTTCCCACCTACGCGTCTCCTTAGGAAGCGTCCCGATCGCTCCACTTCTGCTCTCGGAGCCGCGTCCCGCAAGAGCGCCCTGGTGGCCTTGGCCGAGGACGGGCAGCAGCCGGGCTGCGGGGCGGCGGGCCAGCGGGGCGGCGGCGCTGCATTCCTTGCCAGGCTCCCGCCGAGGGGCGGCCGCGGGCCGCGGCGCGCGCACCGTGTGGCCGNGGAGGCCTCCTTTCTGTCTGTCCCTGTGACTTTTCACACAGTGCGCATTCACACTCCTCCAGGGTGCTCTCCTGTGTTGCTCAAGAAACGCTTTAATCAGATGTCCTTAGTAATTCTGTCAAAGGGTAAAAAAACCAAAAAAACCTCCTCTGTTAGGAATCAAATCAAAAAGGCCTCTTTGGAGCATACTGAGAAGTGGATGCTTTCTAGTTGGATGTGGAAACCCTTAATATTTGCTATTGATGTTTATAGAGATTATTCATTTTCAAACTCTACAGGGGAAGTTGGTGCTATAATTATCCCCATTTTACAGATGAGGAAATGGAAGTGAAAGTGAGGTCTCTGAGCCTGTCCCGGGGAGCCAGACGTCTGCCCAGGACGCGCACCCTTGGGTGCTTGGTGCGCTACCTTTTCTCCTTCCACTGCTTCATGTTTCAGGGAGACTAGTCGTGCTTCGGGGCAGGGTGCCTTTCTGTCGGTTGTCAACGATGGGTGTGGACCAGTACTGAGGTTCCTGTGTTTGTTTTTATTTGGCAGATTCTCAGCCTGGCCTTTGAGATGATGGGACTGGGAAACGGGCGTCGGACCATGAAGTCGCCGCCCCTTGTGCTGGCTGCCCTGGTGGCCTGCATCATTGTCTTGGGCTTCAACTACTGGATTGCGAGCTCCCGGAGCGTGGATCTCCAGGTGTTTTGCTTGTCTGCATGTCATAGAGTATTTAATGTTGCTGGGTGGTGTTATTCATCGCCACGTGAGGCATTGCGCTCAGTGGTGTGGGCTCGCTGGAATGTGAGTTCGAGGCTCTGCATGTGCCCTACCCAGCCTTGGGCCTGACTCTCCACTCCAGGTCTGCTCTTGGGTGGGAGAGGACACCCTTGTGACTTCTAGGCACTCACCACAACCCATTCCTGTCCTCCCGTCCATACTCGAGATCAAAGAGTGGTGTTGGAAGTGTATTTGGATAATGGGTGTGAGAAATGGGTTTTTGGAGGGACCAGTCTTTATCATCCTCATTTAATGATGATGATAANAAAAAAAAATTAACTATAGTTCTCTGATTTCAGTGCTATCAGAACTGGATGGCCTAGCCCATCACATGTGGTCTCTGTCATTATACCGGATGGATTACTCCTTTTTTCCCCCCATTTTTTTCTGTATCAAAACAGGCTGGCTGTCGCCTGTGGGTCTTGGTTTGCTGACCTCATTTGGAGATATTCCTGGAACAGGGTAGAATATTTTTAACCCCTCAAAAAAATGTTGGTGACCAAGTGTTGCACAGCCCCTGGCACTGAGCTGGGGTGTTCTCGGGTCTGTTTGCTTTCATAGTGACTTCTGAATTTCCTGCTCTGCACTTCACACTCTCCAAGATCCAGGTAAGGCCATTTCCAGAGAAGGAATAAAGGTGCAGCTCCCCACTGCTTGGAGAAGCTGCATTGTCTCCTGGTGATGACATTGGTCAAACAAGCTAATCTGATTTGATTGCTCATATATATGCATATTTGCCCATATGACTAAAAACCCCAATGTGAAAATGAGGAAATGGAAAGAAAATGTATTTTAACTAGAAGGTTCAAAGAGCTCATGCATTAGGCAGGTTGCCCATTTTCATATGCTTTCTCTTTTTTTAATAAAGGTAATTAGAGGTCTCTGTTCTCTTATACAGATTTTTGTCTGAGAAGCCAATGATTTTAACCATTAGGTCAAATTCTTAAAATTAATTAAGCCAGGAGGAAATAACCTGCAGTTTTTTCATAATTTTTTCAATTTACCAAGACACTTTTAATGAGGAAACACACAACTTGCATTGCAAGGAAGCTTGGGGTTTCACAGAGTTTAATGATTTAGGTTAATCATTTTCAGCATGTCAGATGCCTGTAATCAGATATGAGAGAAAACACATTCTGAAGCCTAATTTATAGTGAATATTAGTATGTCAGACACAGTACATCTCCCACCCATTTCCATCACCACCTCAAGTCCATATAAATTGTACAGTGGGGGAAAGGTGAGTGTTTTTAGTATTTGCCAACTGTGAACTCTGGCTCTGAGTTATTGCCCACAGCCCTCATCAGTCTTTGCCATTTCTCACCTGTATCTGTCCCTTTATATTCAGCAGCAGTGGTTTCTACAGTCCTGTAAGTCAATGGTAGAGCCCCTTGCAAACCTGAAGGCTGAGTGTGGGCACTCCCTTCCTCGTGGTCACCTTCTTACCTGGGCAGCCCTGTGTCAACCAGGAGCCCAGGTCTCCTCTGGACAGCTGTGCAGCCATGCACAGGGTCCCAGCGAGGGGCTCCGGAGACTGGACCCGTGTTCAGCTTTCTCAGCCCTCTTTTTCATTGTATGGCCCTGGCCTGGGATGTTGTCTACTGCTGCAGCGACACATTTGAGTCANAGTGAGCGGCGCGAGTCGCCAGGCGTGCCCTGTCGCCACCTTTCGCCCTGACCGCCTTCCCTCTGGTCCCTTCTCGGCCCGGGGCTCGCGCCCAGGGACTCCGCGCCGGTCCCTGGAGACACCGCCCAGCTTGCGCCCCGGCTGCAGCCTTCTTCCAGAGTCCGCTCGGGGCCGGCCCCTCACCTCCTCGCGCCGGAGCCCTTGGACCCGGCCGCCTGGACCTGCGGGGGCTCAGGTCCCCGGCGCCGAGGGGTCGTGCGAGGATTCTCTGCCCCAGCGGAGGCCGGTCTGGGGCGATGCGGAGCCATTCTTTTTGTTCTTCGCTTGGTCACGCGCGTCAGCATCCAAAGTCAGAAGCGTGCGTCCCCAAAGTCGCACTAGCGCCAGTCCTGCGGGCGTGGTGGGCGCGAGGGCCGGGACGGGAGGGTGGCCGCGCCGCTCCCCTCACCTCTGTTTCCTCCCTCCACCCCCGAGGCGCGCTCGGGCCGTCGCGGGCGCCCACGTTGGCAGCGGTCGCGTCCTGGCAGGTGACCTGGAGCTGGCCGCGCGGGCTGCTTGGACCGCGCCGCCGGACCCCATGTGGAGCCCGTCGGGGATGTTCCAGGTCCTCCCCGGTATTTCCCCACCTTTGGCAGTGTGGAGGGCCCACAAAACTTTTGCTCTGCTGTAAAAATAGCCTCCTGGGATTATATACTCTTTATATTTCGCAACCTGTTTAATATTTTTAATGGTTTTTTTTTTTGGTAGACAAAATAGGACAATTACCTATTTTGATGAACGTTCTTTTCAGTGGAATTTAAGAATCATTATATTCAGGATGTCATGATACGATGCTAGTCATTTTCAGATATCCCATTTCCAAATTCAAATAAATAAACTCGTGTGGCTTTCACCGTTTAGAGATGTCCTTTGTCTGGTTGGGGTCTCCATGGCCCTACAGACAGAAATTATGCAAAATGTTGAGGGACATTACTAAGGACAGAGTATTAAGATGTCCAGCAGCCTCATGAAATATTTAACAGCTCTACAGTGACTCTGCGTTTGGCTTATGACCATCAGATTGACTTAAGTTTAGGTAGTTTTTAATATTTATGGATTTTTTTGGAGCTTGATACCTGGGGAGCAGGGGAATCTCTTGGAGGTCCTTGTAGATCTCCTAGGGCGTTCTAGCTCCTCCTCCTTGTGTCATAAAAAATTAAGATAAGTTCATGCTATTAGGAAGCATAATTTTACTTTATTTGTAAATAGAACCCAGTAACTAGCTAACACTGTTCTTAGGCCAGAACTCAATTTTTAAGGTGTCAGTGGTCAAAAACACATTGAATTCTTAGGATGTTTAAGGAAAAATGTGAGCTCTTCGAGATTTATTTTGTTCTCCTATGGAGAGGTTATGGTATTTTTTTTCACTGGTTTTGGTCAAAAACGAAAGACCAAGGATGCAAGGAAGGAGAATGTGTGTGCGGGTGGGGTGGGTGGAGGGGGCAGATTGCAGTGACAGAACTAAGGATGCTATCTGCTTTCTAACTGCTGGCCATAGGTCCAGTTAATCTTGGGGAATGCCAAGATGTTTGCATTTACATACTTTTTTCAAGGGGTGGGGCAGAAACAGCAGTGAGGCTTATTGACAGTGTTGGGCCCAGGGCTACCTTCATTCCATTTATGTGACCACCTTCCCCAGCAGGGAGGGCACTGCTGACCTTACTGGCAATCCTGTGAACGTGCAGGGTGGGGTTCGGCATCCAAAGCATACAGGGTAGATGGGCAGAGCCTGGGGAAACTGCCTCTGCAGGGCAGAGTTGGAAGCGTGAAGTGTCACCAAGCAGGCTGTGATGAGCAGGAAAGCAGGGTCCCTTGACCGGCACTTTAGTCAAATGGAGCTTGAAGGCAGCATGGTCCCTGAAACGGCTTGGTGTGGCCAGAAGGGAGGGAAGACGGAGGCTGGCTTGGGGGATGAGAGCACCTCTGCCCTGGGCTTTAATTCACTTGTACCATTGTGATTATTATGTTTATCTTTAGAAAAAAATAAGTTGCCTCAGGAAAAGATTCATTTCTTTTCAGGGTTGAGAAATAACATCCATAATTGGGATAAGAAAAAAGCACTTCTTTATTTGTCAACAACAACAACAACAAAAAGCCCTAAAGCTTTGTTAAATTTTTTTCTAAACATTTGCAAAAGTAGAAAGAATGGTCTTCATATGCTTTTGCTCTCAACTTAGGAAAGTGTGAGTGGCATTTCTCTGCCCCCGAAAAAACATTCTTAGATTGTGGTTTTCTTTTCTAGACTTCAAGTTACTAATGAGATTACATTAAAAGAGAGACTTGGCTTGACTTTAAGAAGTGCTTCCTAAATTCCCAGAGAGTCTACTTTGATTCACACAGAAATTTCCTACACTTTCGGGGGGGGGGGGAAATCCTTCTCAGATTTTTACAACATTTTGATCTTTTCTTTAAAACCCTTCAGGGGTGTATTACTAATACTTCCCCCAGCTAAGATTTTGAAGATTAATTAGTGCCCTACGGGAAGAAAATAATGCAAGAATACTATATAATATGATCATAGTGATATATTTTGTAGTTTGCTGTTTCCAAACTTTTTTGATCATTCTCATTAGTAAAAAAAATTTTAACACTTAAAAATAAGGCAGTGTTATATGTAAATTGTATCTCAGTTAAACAATTTTTTAGCTCTCTTATGTATGTGTTTTTGTTACTTACATATAAATTACAAAGATGTGCTATTGTCTTGTATCTCAAGGCCCAGTATATACTTGGAGCTGGATTCATTGTAATGACAAGGAGGTAAAATCCTATTTCAAATACTCCTTCTTGAATTGTGAGTATTTTTGGCCTGTTTCTGGTCAGATCAGATTACATCATCATTGTTTTTTACTTTGTGATGTGACTCATGCCAGGCTGACCCTGGGTGAGAAGCATGCACCTTCCCCGCTGTGGGATTGTGTTCACCTGTGCTTGCATTGATTAGTATAACTTTAATTTGTGCCTTTTATAGGACTCTTAAAGCTTCGTATCCTCTGTAATGTTTAGTTATAATATGTCAGTCTACCTCCCTGTGCAAGTACTAAAGCGGAAGGAGCACCTCAGGCCCCTCAGAGGGGTTGTGACGTGTGACCCCTGACAGAGGAACTTAGGATGTAGAGTCAATTTCTACTTTTGTTAGCAAGGCTAGTATTTTATGGTAGTGTAATATAATTAGTAGAATGTAACATATTATAGCGTAATTAGTATATACGTAATATATAGTATTGAAGTCATTATGTGTAATGCTTAGATTACTAAAACATAGTTGCTCTTCTACGTTTTGGATAAAAATAACTAACTTCTGGGATTTCCTCCCCTAGCCTGGTGGAGCATCTTCTGCACCCTCTGGAATGCATGCGCCCTGCTGTAAACAGCTGGTTTCTTATTTTAGACTCAGGCACTATTTTTTCATTTGATCATCAGAAGAACCCCATGAAGGCAGGTATAATTCATCTCCTTTTTTTAAATGAGTAAACTTAAGACAAAAAAAGTCAAGTAATATCCTGACAGACCCTTTTAGTTAAGTATTTACTTGGTAACAAGTGAATGGTCTCATTTAATTTTCACACCAGCTGTAGGAGAGAGACACCAAGGTCTTTATAGGTGAGCCCAGGGGATTGGGAGACAAGTAACTGCCCATCACCCAGTTAGAAAGAAACAGGTCTTCACACTGCATTACATCTCCTTGATTACCTGCCCAAGGCCCATGATGGGAACCAGGTCTTCTTTGTGTCACTTGAAGACAGATTCTTCTTGCCACCTTGGAATTCCCCAGTGGTGGGTTCCAGCCCAGAAAAGAGCCTTGGAGTCTGAATGAGTTCAGTTTTTTTTTCTGTACTTATGATGCATATACATAGTATAATCATTTTGTTTTAGGGGAAGCTGTAAAATACTATGCTTTAATCTGAGAATGCCAGGAATTCAACTTTAGAACTTGCTAATGTTACTAATACATATCTTCCTTCTTAATTTTTTT